GGGGGGGGTGCACCATAGGGTGCTGCCTGAGAGTGGGAGTAGTAGGCTGAGTGGGATACCAAGGACAATTAGGGTTTCTGGTTGGCCACTGATTTGTCGGGGGAAGGGGGAGGTTGCCATTGTGTGGGTGATCATATTGGTATTTTGTATTGAACCACAAGAAACTGTGGCAAACCTAACCACATGAACATGCGGGGTAGATGATAGTTTGAGTTCAACCAGTTGCAACGTGTGCAAAAAATAACCTAGATGATGATTAAAAATACACTTCCGTCCTTCCAAGTTGTATTTCTTTTCCTCACCTCATTCATTGCTTTACTGATGCTCATCAACTCAAATCATCAAACCTTTCAACTTCACCTCCAGGTATGCTGCTCTTGTACTTCACTCTACCTTTCATCATCCTTGTATGCTCCAGTCTCATGTGTCTCTCATCCATTTCTCAGGTGTTCTTCCTCTCAAGTCAACTCGACTTACTCGTTGTTTTATCTAACAACCTGCTGTTGTCATCTAAGGTGTTATCATCACGGCCTGCTCAGCCATTATGTTGGATTGGTGTGGCCGGTGGTTTAAAAATCAAGATTATTGTTGGCCAGGAATCCGACTCATGATGGTGTAGCAGGAACATAGCACGGCTGCAGGCGCCAGGGTGAGTAGGTGGGTGTAATTGGCAGTATTTCCAGATACATGATTTGAATGATACAGGCCGTAAGCGAGTTTTTAGAGCTGTAGTGTTTGCCAAAGCAATTTTTTTTATTTGTTTATTTCAAAATAGGCCCCAAGGCCGTTTTGAGATGTTTTTGAAAAAAAAAAATCAAGAAAAACATTATTAGAAACTACTGTCAAAAACAATGCAAAAAAATCTCAAAAACACTGTATAATTGTGGCCTAAGTTAAGTCCTTATGAAGGGGTATTCCTTGCTACTGCGGAAAGGCAAAAAGCAAAGATATTCAAGGAGACAAAAGCACAACAGCAGCAGACTGAAATTGGTGGTGTCAGTGACTGTGTGCAAATGTACATTAGGGGATTTCATACTTGGCGCAGGCCGTCGCACAGGTCCAAAAATCAGGAAAACAACTGGCCTGATTTTTGGACCTGCAGGCCTGCGTGGCTTCCACCAAAACGGCTCCAGGCTGGTTGGTCCAGGTCCATGTTCTGCGGCAGAAACCTGGACCTTTTGGGTTTAATCCAAAAATCCCCCGATTCCCTATGTGCGCCTGCTTTTTTTTCATAATTTATTTTCCGACCTACTACCAACCTACACGTCCATGCCACCCAAACAAACCACCCCCATGGCCAGCTGAAACTTCAACACCACCCCAAGGAAAGCAAAAGAAGCCTGCCGTTTCTTGGGACAAGGATGGCCAGTCAAGCATACATATCATACTTGACTGGCTTGGAACAGAAGGTAATTACACTAAATGGCGCGGTGATACAAAAGCCTGTGTCACCAAAATGAGCTTGGAAAATGAAATACTAGGAGAAATGACAAAAAACGGAATCACTCACTGAGATGCTAAGGGCATCCAAACAAAGATACAGCAGCTCCAGGCCTCCTATGGTAAAGCAAGTGATTTCTTGCTTGGCTCAGGTGCTGGTCTCTTGGACAAGGACATCTCCAATGGAACAAATACTTTACCAGGTTTTCCCACGACTCAACCCTCTCCCATCATGTTTACTTTGGATTCTGCTGATCCCTCAAATGTTTGACCAGCTGCATTACTGGGAAAAACTGGACTCTATAATGGTGTTGCAAACCTGTGCAAACCCCTCAGCCCCCTACAATTTCTCATTCCCTACGCCAAGGCCCAACCTGTTGGCGAGTCATAATGTTGAGGATGATGGGGGAAACAAAGAGACACCTGCATCTTCCATTGAACGTGCAGCCACTGATGATTTGAACATAGATCTACCTGCCACCTTGGAACCAATAGATGGAACCGGCGCGGAAGTAACTCCAACTGCTTGTGTGGCCGGAACAAAAAGAAAGCCGACTTCAGGAGGTATCTGTGTTCATTAAATGGTATATATATATATTTTACTTGCTTTCTCTCTGACTTGTTTCCGTC